TGCACACCTTAACTGGATGATGGAGTCTTTTGCCAGCTAAATCTCCTTGTTCTTAAATCATCACTCTCACTGAGGTACAGAACAACCCTGGAGAAAACTCGCAGCTCCTTGGGTTTATTTATTCATAAGGAGACACTGAATTGAAAACAGATCCTCCTAATAACGGATGGCCCTAGTCCCGGCACATAGAATATCTTCCAAGCCCACGGTTAATGATCACTTTGTTGTTGCTGCTTAGGATTTTGGTTTTTCTTTTTTGGCCTATTTTGTTTTGTTTATTTGGGGGGTTGCTTGCTTTTGTTTTGTTATTGTTCTGCATTTTGGAGGCAGGATCTCGCTCTGAAGAAAAATAAGTAAAACCAAACACTAGTGCAGTTCAGAGTTTCAGAGTAGAAATCAGAATAAGGACCAACTATTGTCACATGCCTATTATAGACAAGGGCCTATTATTGCCACGTACCTAAACAGTGTAATTCCCTCCCTTCCTTCCTCCCTTTCTTTCTGTTTCCTTCCTTCCTTTCTCCCTCCCTTCCTCCCTCCCTTCCTTCTTCTCTCCCACCCATTCTTCCTTTTTATTCATTTATCGAGACACTGTGTAGCCCTGGCTGCCCTGGAACTCATAGATACCCACCCACATGCCTTTGCCTTCCAAGGGTTGGAATGAGAGGTGTGGACCACCACATCTGTCCTAACTGTGTTTTACACATTAGTTCCTTTTTTTATCCACAGATAAGTGTAGCCCTCATTCCTCATCAACAAAAGTTTTTTGTTTGTTTGTTTGTTTGTTTCAGCAGACAAAGGCTGTTGCCGAGATCCGCAACTGGTCAAAATGAAAGGGCAACTCTTGGGGGGTGGTGCGGGTTGCCCAACCCCACTTGACACATTTTCAGCACAACCCTAAATCTAAGGTTCAGGGAAGAGGGTACAAAAAAAAAAAAAAAAAGAGCGTACAAGCCAGAGGACCAGGGTGTCTGCTCTAAGATATGGTTTCACGTCTATGACAAGGGAGCTGCACACACAGAGATCCTCGTTTAAGGCCCACATAATGACAAAACCAGTTTACATGCCAACGTGGATGGGGACATCTCACAAAGGTTCCTACCCGGATAAAGAACTGTAGGCAATTGTTGGCTGCTGAGAGAGGGAGATCAGTTTATCCAATCCAGAGTGGTCAGCCCTAAATGCACACATACACACACACACACACACACACACACACACACACACACACACACAGTCGAACAGCAACACTAAATGAGCTCCATAGAAATCAGAGTAAACTCAAGGAAAGACAGCTCCTGGAGGCATGTGCTACCAGGAACTAAATACACATATACAAACAAACAACAACAACACTGAACTAAATGCACATATACAAACAAACAACAACAACACTGAACTAAATACACATATACAAACAAACAACAACACTGAACTAAATGCACATATACAAACAAACAACAACACTGAGCTAAATGCACATATACAAACAAACAACAACAACACTGAACTAAATACACATATACAAACAACAACAACACTGAACTAAATACACATATACAAACAACAGCAACACTGAACTAAATGCACATATACAAACAACAGCAACACTGAACTAAATACACATATACAAACAACAGCAACACTGAGCTAAATACACATATACAAACAACAGCAACACTGAGCTAAATACACATATACAAACAAACAACAACACTGAGCTAAATGCACATATACAAACAACAGCAACACTGAGCTAAATACACATATACAAACAAACAACAGCAATACTGAACTAAATACACATATACAAACAACAACAACACTGAGCTAAATGCACATATACAAACAAACAACAACAACACTGAACTAAGTACACATATACAAACAACAACAACAACGCTAAATTAGGCTCCAAAGAAATCAGAGTAAATGCAAGGAAAGGCAGCTCCTGGAGGTATGTGCTACCAGGAGCAGGCGGTGGGTTCCTGGAGACCCATCAAAGTCACACGTGGCCCGGGACAGGCAGAGAACAGACGCCCGCTGGAGCAATCGGCAGCGGCATGCGGTTTTTACAGGGACACTTTTCACACCCTTTGGAATTTGCCAGGAAGCCTCTGGGAAAATTCCACTAGCATTCGACCACCCAGTCTCGGGGAGCTGTGCCCGTGGAGTCTCACTGCCCTCTCCCCCCAGGCCTTCCGGAAGGGGCTCTTTCCCACAGAGTTAGGATACCTACTGGAAGACTACCCTAGATCCCTGCCTGTCAACTGCCTGTCACTGGATCGCACTGGATTGCTTCCCTGACCTCTGAGACCTCCTGGAAGTCTGGATCCCTGGATCAGTGTCCGGGGCCTACAGAGGGGTAAGACTTACCTCCCGAGGCCTTGCTGGGTCACTCTGCTGTTACTTTTCGGTCCCTCTAGGCCTGTGACGTCGTAAGACACTCCAGACTTGGGACACCGCAGAGGGGAGAGAAGTCCAAAAAGTTGCCCAACTCTTAACTCGGGAGTGAGAGGCAGGGAGGGTAGCAGGAGGGAAGGCAGGAAGGCTGGACAGTTGGCTACTGGTCACAAACTAGCAAGCAGACCAGCTCCTCATCACTCTCAGTGAAACAGAAAACAGTTCCTCTTTAGCTAGGATGTTGGGGGTTTGTTTATTAGTGCATTTTTTTGGTTTTTTGTTGTTGTTGTTGTTTTTGAGACGGGGTTTCTCAGCCCCAGGCAGGTGGCCCGTCTGGGGTTACGGGTATGAGCCACCAACCCTGGTAGTACGGTGGTGGATGATGTGAACACAGGACTCTCGAGTGTGTAGACAAGAGCTCTACCACCTGAGCTGAATCCCTCCCCGGATGCTTTACCTCTCTTAGGACACACCTTTTCCCATTCCCTTTGAGACAGGAGGCGCCAGAAACCATTCTGTTGTTTGTTGAAGTTGGGAAAGATGGTTAGGCGGTCAAGAGGGCCTGTTGCTCCCATACAGGACTCGAGCTTAAGACCCCAGTGCTCACTTCACCACTCCCAACTATGGAACTGTAACCCCAGCTTCAGGACCCAACACACCCTCTTTTGGCCTCCTCAGGCCGCTGCATATGGGGCACACACACACACACACACACACACACACACACAGAGAGAGAGAGAGAGAGAGAGAGAGAGAGAGAGAGAGAGAGAGAGAGAGAGAGAGAGGTAAGAATAAATCTTAAATTTTCTTATTTAAAGAATAAAAATAGTTTTGTTTAGTTTTTTTTTTTTTTTCCCGAGACAGGGTTTCTCTGTGGCTTTGGAGGCTGTCCTGGAACTCGCTTGGTAGTCCAGGCTGGTCTGGAACTCACAGAGATCCGCCTGCCTCTGCCTCCCGAGTGCTGGGATTAAAGGCGTGCGCCACCAACGCCCGGCTTAGTTTTGTTTAGTTATGAAGAGGTTATGCAGCAAGAATCCCTGAACTTTTATTTTTTCTTTTTCTTTTTTTTTTTTTTTTGGTCACATTTTACTCGGGCAGCCTTTAAGACTCTGTCTGACCCAACCTTGCGTTGAGTTTTCCTCTGCATTTTTATTAATATAGCGTGAGGCAATGGCTTTCCCTATTCTGTTTCGAAGTTGCGTTACCCATCATAAATCATCGTACCGAAATATCTCCCCAAACGGAGAAAACCGTCAGACAGGTGAGAGACAAAAACCTTACTAATTTTCTGCCTCTCCCTCAACTGTTGGCAGACACCAACAGAAATGAAAGCCTACTGCATCCTCCACTGCGTAAGCACCGAATGACGCCATAGCGAATAGATCCATGGGCGTCGTTTGACTTCCACCTGAAGGACCTGGGAAAAATGTCCACGGTCGCCGGCGGCTTATAACGCCTCAGGAAATAAATGCCGCTGTGGGTAACGCTGTGTGCCTTGGGTATGCTCGAAACCCAGCCAGCCCTGGGTACTGCCTACATTTGCTTGAAAAGAGTCAAATGAGGAGCCAGAGAAAAGGGCTCCCCTCCCAAGGCCCCGCGGATGTGTCTCTGACTCCTCTCAGCCTGTGCCTTTGTATAGTCAGTATTGAAGCAGCACCGGGTTAATTACATGGTCCTGTGTTTACACGCCGGTCTCCTCAAAGGCCAGCACTGAGTTAGCAGCACCAGGCAGGACACACATCTCGGTGCCTCTATTCGCCCTTTCAACTGGAAAAGACTTTGCAAACACTGGTTCACACACACACACTCACACCCCTTGGAGACAGGCACACAATGTCAAATTCCTGCTCTGTCAAAGATGAAATAGATACAGAGGGGCAGTTGTGGTCCAGGACCACACAGCAAGTGTATTTGTTACAGACTCCAAAAGTACTCACGGCACTAGCTCCCAGGTTCCTCTGCTCCCGGGTCTGACAGTTTCTCGTCCTCTGGATAACACACCCAATGGGCTATCTTGCAAGTTACCCTGGTGCTGGTTTACGTGTGTAGCCCCGGCCAAATGTAGCACCTTAGCTGGCCAGGGGCTTTGGTCCTGTGCTGGAACCATTGAGAGAGTGATGGAAGCTTCATGAGGGCAGGAAGTAAGATGTTTCTTGGCTGCTGTAGCCTACGCCTGTGCCTCGTATATGACGGGGACTCCATAAAAACCAGACGAACGGCAAAACAAAACAAACAAACAAAAAACTTAGCTGAGTTATCTTCATCCTTGGAACTCACAGTGGAGCCTTTTGCCTAGCTGACGGTGTTTGAGTCTTCAGCTCCTATGCAACTCAGTGGGCAGGGGCACTTAAGACGACTTTCCTGCCTGGCTGTGGGGCTCACACCTTTAATCCCTGCCCTTGGGAGCATGAAGCCGGAAGATTGCAAGTTCACGGTTAAGCATGGGCGAGTAGTGCACTCGGGGAGACTCTTGTCCAAATAAATGAGTGCACTACAAATAAGATTGGAAACCTAACAGGCTTGCGGTCGAGGCTCTCAGGAAACGGCACAAACGGCAGCGTCGAGGGCGGCCTCGTCTGTGCTCGCACACAAGGACGGGCGAGCACACCTAGGCCAGACACTTAGCTCCTGCTCCCTCGGGTGGAACAGCCGGATCTCTTGACTGCCTCACAGTGGTGTTTGTAACACAGCTGCTTCACCTTAGGCTTAGGAGATAGCCACAGCCAGCTGGCTGCCCACTGGGCCTGGGTAAGGACAGTTACGTGGAGGAGCAGAGGAAGCCCGTGTCCTCATCCGTGGACCTACAGCACAAACTGAGCCGAAGCGCAGACTCCCGAGAGCTATTCATCTGAAGGGTTGCCATTGTTAAGCCTCTAAGTCAGGCTTGGCAAAAAACAACAACAACAAAAAAAAACCAAAAACCAAAAAACAAAACAAAACCAAGTCTTTGGAAGGGGCAGCTCTCTTAGAGGGCATGGGAACGGTTCTGGTGGATCCTCTGGAAGTCACAACAGTGCTCCTCATCCCACTAGGCAGGCTGTGCTCCCCTCTGCCTTAATTATTTGGGGGAAAGCTCTTTATTTCTAAAGCAGAAAACTGAAGACAAACAGATGGATTTTTTAAAAATCTCTTAAAAAGCAGTTTTTGTTTTGTTTTGTTTTGTTTTGGGGGATAAGAGTTTCATCCCACAGACCAGGCTGGCCTGAAACTCACAGCAAGCCTCCTGCCTCAGCTTCTCAAGCGCGAGATGACAGACAGGGGACTCGCCCAGCCATGTGTTTGAAAAAAAATCTATAAGGAAACATGTTGGGAAATCTCACAGGGGGCAGAATCCCATCATGGTCTCTTTTCAAACTCTGGTACATGTTTTGTAACCACAAGTACCGACTCCACGTTTCTTTATAAAAGGTGAAAACTGTGTCGCAACAGAGAGAAGCGTCTGGAACGCTGTGGATGGGTTTTGGGTCCCGGCAACCGACATCACGTGCTGCCTCTGGAGCCGCACCGGTCCGCGCCCATCTCCACACTGTTATTTCCTTTCCAGGTTTGGAGAAGATGCTCGCTCAAGTGCCCATGTCTGGAGGATCTAGAACTTTGCAACACTCTTCTGGAGACGGCCCCGTCCTTTCTGACCGTGAGTGTCGGGAAGTCTCTAGCCAGAGAGAGCCTGGGCCTAATACGAAATCATTAACAGACCCAGAGAAATCCTTTGGAGTCAGGTGCCTCGGGTCTGTCCCGCGCAACCTTTACCCAGCCGCATTTCTAGCACAGAGGCTGAAGTTCACACAATCCTGGGCTGCCCGAGGTTAAGGCTAAAAAAGACCCCATGATCCTATATGCATGCTCCCGAGTGAATGCCCAGCCAGGAAGGAACAGAGCAGAAGGTTATGCAGGTAGTCCTTTGTGGGCTGCTCTGGATTTTCAAATCTAGACGGCCATGCCCACAAGTGATTTGGGAGTTTCTCAGTGAGGGGGGTGTGATGCTTGGGAACAGCCACCTAGCTGGTGTGGCTACTGTTGAGTCTCCAAAGCTGCTCTCTCACAGCATGTTACATAAGCTTGAGAAAACACTATCATCTCTATTAAAGAACCAGGGAAGGTGATCCTGATGGGGATAAAGTGTGCCTGAGGAACGGCACTCATGCAAAAAAAAAAAAAAAAAAGCAAAGTCTACATGTAACTTCTACAAAAGGAACGGGCCGCAGACTCCTGAGAAACACTCCGTTCTCCGGCAACAGAGGGGAAGTTCCTTCGCCTACTTAATTAATAAGGCCGAGAAATATTTTCCGGCGGGGAAACTTAGTTGCCTTCCCTGTATCTCTCAGGATATGTAACGTCTGGGAAGCGCAAATGACATTGTCTTCCTGGTGCCAGGCCAGTGAATGGGTGGCACAAAAAAATGTTAATACCAAGTCATTACTGAACAGTTTCCCACATGGCTGAATCCAATTAATTAGGCCTAGCTAAACCTGCCAGCCTCACCCAGGACCCAGCTGAATAACCCTTAGGATTGAGGAACGCCCCTTCAACAAACACTCATCTGTTGCTACCTGTGTTCAGCGAGTCACTGCAGATTCTTCCTGACGGGGCTTCCTCAACACGGCATGCTGGTTCAAAGCCTCTGCTTTAGAGCTCATTAGAAAAAAGTTCTTGGGGAAGGAGAGGGAACTGGGATTGACATGTAAAACAAGCTTGTTTCTAGTTTAAATTTAAAAAAAAAGGAAAACGTTCTTTAAACCACTTTACAGACGGTTGTTTATATTTCTCTCTGACCCACGATTTGCCCATGGCCAAGGATAATGTAACTTACTTTTTCATGCCTAAGTCAAAGGACTGGATAGTTTCTTCCAGCCCCCATCTGTTTTCCTTAATGTTGATGTAAATCTTCTTTTACTCTCCAAACAAAGCCTGTGGGACTGTGAGCAGAACGTGTCAGAAATGCCTCTGGACCCTGAGCTCTGGGGTATCCCGGAGCAAACTCATGTCCCTGGGTACCAAAGGTCCTGAAAGTACTCCGGACACACTTTTCCCACCAAGCCACGTTTATTGAATGCCTATTACTGCTTGGTGCTGGATGGAAAATGGAGTCACCCTTCATGGTCTGCCAGGCTTCCCTTCTGGTTGATGGGCAGGCAGGGAGAGACTGCTGGGGTAGAGCACAGCAGAGCCTGTGCTTAGCACAGGGGAGGCCTTGGGTTGGATCCCCAGCAGCTCCCCCAAAGGAAGGAGGGATAGCACTGGAGTGAGACTGATGATAATAATGATAATATTAATGCACTCTTACATTGATACACTTCTCTATTTTGTTTATTTATATCATCATTATTCTGGTACTCAACATGCAGACCAGGCTGGCCTCAAACTCACGGAGATCTGCCTGTCTCTGCATCCTAAGTTCTGGGATGAAAAAGGAGCGTGTCACCACGGCCAGCTCATACGCCTCTATTTTGAAAACAACTCCACAAAGACATAAGAGGGAGGCCATTGTCCTCTGATGTGTGTACTTTGGTGAAGGGAGGCATTTGGTGAAGGGAGGTATGATGGCATGTTGAGTCAGTCTCCAAGGAAAGTGACATTGTAGTATGCATACAAACTTAAAAAACGCCTGAGTGAAAACTCTTCGACTCAACAGCCCCACATCTGGGAACTTGGTCTGTCAAGATGGAACATGCTCAAGAGGACGTGCGTGAAAGACACCACAGCACAGTCCGAGGTAACAACGCTACCAGCAATTGGAGGCTCATCTTGTAAGACGTAAGCAAACCCGGGAACATTCGGACAACGGGACACTTTATAGCTAGGAAGAAGAGTGGATCTGCACTCCAAGATAAATGATGAAGTGTGTGTGTGTGTGTGTGTGTGTGTGTGTGTGTGTGTGTGTGTGTGTGTGTGTGTGTAGCAAACAAGGAACACAAACTGTGTGTTTAATGTTCCATCATCTCTGAAAATTATATGTATCCATCAGGGTGATCCTTGAGAGATCATACCGGATAGAGATGAAGCGTCACCCAAAATAGCCCAAGTGTTAGATGTCTGGCGGTCAGCTGGAGGTCTTTCGGGACATGACTGGATCTTGAAGGCTCTGACCTAATCTTTGTACCAACCTGTTTGGTGAATTCAAAATTAGATTGAGAAGAAGATGGCGGAGACTGTGGGAGGCGGGGCCTGACTGGAGGAAGGCGGGGCCTGACTGGAGGAAGTGACCTCTTCCTCTGTCCCCATGTCTCTCTGCTTCCTGATCGCCACGAGGCCAGTGAGTTTCGTTTTCTCGTACCCTCCCTTCACAGTGAGAAAATGCCACCTATCTCAAACACAGAAGAATTAACTGCGTACTTGTTAACAGTTTTGTATTCTCGGGCACACATTTGGCTATCCAGAGACGTTCTGAAGAGAAAGCATTGCAGTGCTGGGAATTATACGCATAACTTCCACGCACAGTTGGTTTTGTGTGTGTTTCTACCCGATGCCTCTATCTTGGCTGTGAATTTGATCAGTAGGGCAAACACCCCTAAGCAGTGGTAATCGCTTGTGGACTGGCCCAGTAGACAGACAGTTCTCAGTCAGCACGGAGCACAGGGAAGATCAAAGATAAGGAAGGTTTCAGAACAGGGGTTTAATCTTGGGAATAGCTCTCCTCTCCGGAAGACTTCGTGCTCATCTCTAACCCAAAGATTTGAACAGGTACCCTGACCAACGAATATTCAAATAGAGAGAGGACCGAGTCCAGGGCGGGGTGTCTTGAAAGATATTTACAGCGTGTCTCTGGGTTCTAAAAACGAACTTTTTCTTTTTTCCAGCAGAAATGTTGTCATCCTAGTTCTTGCAACTACTCAATTGCTGGGACACTGTGGTTATATTATAAACTGGTAAAAGTAAAATGCTAAGGAGTAAGATCAAACGGAGTATTTTGTTTGTTTTTCTTTTTCAAATGCCTGCATTTTGAGCTAACTCTGGTTTCCTACAATCTTGTGCTAGGGAAGGTCAGCCAAGAATACTCGTAATCTGCTCATTATGAGACTGAAATCTGTCTCGTGTTAAATAAAGCATGTCTGCATATGTAAAAAGTCTTATTTAAAAGAAGAACCTGAACCTGGAAATGGCTATGGAAATGACTTTCAGTCTCTATTTTTAAGATGCATTAAATATGTATCTTCGTGGAGATGTGAGGAATTAACCTGCTTTGGGGCAAAATTTCCATTACTTCTGAGGCGGGCGGGTGTGGGAGTACATGCAGGGGCAGAGCTTGGGGAATTGGCAGAGCAGCCCAGGCTGCTGGGGAGCAGAACGGCTTGTTAGAAGAAGCCACGGGAACACCCTGAGAGCTGTTGCATGTGAAGCTGAGTCAGAGAGCACAACTTGGTCACGGAGCACAGAACAGAAACTGCTAGTCATGGAGCCCAGGACCACAGCCTCGCATGCTCCATTTGAAATCAAATGTCTTTAGTCGGCCTGCTCTGAAGCTGGGTCCAGATGAAGGGCTTCGAACCCCCCAGGGTTCTGCGGCAGGAACCCCAGGGAGAAATCCGGGAGGACCCCTCCAGGTGGCGGGCCTCCCGTCTGTGTTGACAGAACCTGATCACAGAGGAGGTTGTTGTGAAAAACTGGGTCACTACAGAAGGTGGAGCTAAGTTCTGGATCAGAACCCTTGATCTTCTGAGGCTTCAGGGAAAGCCTTTGATTTCCAGGGGGGAGAGGTGCTGGGTGACATAGGGTGTGGGTATTCAGTAGTGAAAGTGAGGAGACAGGAAGAGGGAGGAAGGGACAAGAGAGTCTGGAAAGGGAGGGGAAGAGGGACTCTAGAACTAAGTGCTAGCATCACAGATAAGAATGCTCTCAGCTGGGCGTTGGTGGCGCACGCCTTTAATCCCAGAACTCAGGAAGCAGAGGCAGGCGGATCTCTGTGAGTTCGAGGCCAGCCTGGTCTACAAGAGCTAGTTCAAGGACAGCCTCCAAAGCCACAGAGAAACCTTGTCTCGAAAAAAGCCAAAAAAAAACAAAAAACAAAAAACAAACAAAAAAAAAAACCGCTCTCTAGTACCAGAGTCTTCTGAGGAATTCCTAATGTTGGTTTTATTTCTCTTCCCTTTTCTGAAGTTCTTAGGAGTCCTCCTGCCTGGAATCAGATGACTTTCTTTGTGACAAAGGGCAGGGTCTTAGTATTAAGGATTCAAGCTGTGGACTATTTCTTAAACTGTCATAGAATTGTAGAAATGCCCTCAGACGTCTGGACCACCCATTTTTCTGGATAAAGGAAACTGAAGCCTTGGAGTGGCTAAGTGGACTTAGTTACAAAATATCAGGGACTAGAATTCAAGCTGTCTTCTTCCAAGTAGTCAAATGACACTAATTTTTCACTTTCACATTTTACTTAACAGTTCTATTTACTGTTCCAAGCTCTGTGTTTCATTCCCCGGTCCTCAAAAGAAAATGCGTTGTTCTCAGTAATGACACAAGAGACAGGAGAGACGGCAGGGCCTATAGAGCTTAATAAGATTAAAGAAAATTGGTTGTTGTTTTGAGATGGGCCCTTTTTCTGCAGTACAGGCTGGTTGAATCTGAACTCGTGGCAATCCGCCTGACTTAACCTCCACGGTGCTGGAATTTACAGGTTCGGAGTTAACCATTCTTGGCTTAAAGGAATTTTACTTAGCAAACAGCAGCCAGACTTTAGCAACAGCTGAGACATAAAAATTGATCCCAGCTGAACCAAACACAATAAAGGTCAACTCTCGCCCGTAGAGAAGTCAGGCACTGTCTAATCGTCAGCTGGGATGTGGTCCGGACTCAGCTCTTAGTCACTGCAGGTAATACTCACGATGAACCTAGTAAAAAAAAAGAACCGGTGTTTTCCAGTTAGTAAGTCTAAACAAATGGCATAATTTGACAGTAAGGACACTGCATTTCACCAGAATTTCCTGGTTTGGCAGTTTATCTTGATCAAATCAATTATTACCATCCTGGCTGTCTAGGCAAAAAAAAAAAAAAAAAAGAGAGAGAGAGAGAGAGAGAGAGAGAGAGAGAGAGAGAGAGAGAGAGAGAGAGAGAGAGAGAGGGCATTAATCATCTGTTGCTGTGTCTTGAATCACTTCATGAAGTGCATTTCCCAGTGAGGATGGGACAGCTGAACCTGCTGAACCAGGGGAATGTCATTCCTCCCTCATTTTGGGAGTGGGGCTGTGACATTCAGCAGATGTTTATCACCCTAACTGTTGTATTTCCATCTTATCTTAATCTTAATCCTAAATTAACTTTATTCTTTAAGAATGGGTTTCAAGGGCCAGCAAATGGTTCTTTGATTAACAATGCCCCGCCCCCCAAACACACCAAGCCTGAAGGTCTGAGATCAATCCTTGGAAATCATGGAGGAACGTGTGCCACGGTACACTCAGAAAAATAACAAATGTTTTCCCAATCCTCTATACTTTGCTGTGGCCACTCAAAGACCATTACACGTGGCCTCTAAAAGAGGCATCAGAACCGGGTGTGTAAATCCTAAAACTCTATACCCTGAAATGGGCATTGTGGCTTTACAGCCAATTTGGGCTACAAAGGAAGACCCTGCTTCAAAAACCTAACTAACTAGACATTGAGAATACAAAGATTTCCTTGAGAGCTCACATTCTAGTTGCAAATGCACACCTTTAAGTAAATGGCAATGTGGTATGGTTTGAACATGATGGACCTTGGGCAGGGATTAGAAAATCCCAGTAATTTAATAAGCCCCTTTAGTTCATCTCTGTATCTATAAAACCCCATTCACCCATCAAGTTACACATCACATTGGTGTCCAGCCCGCTGCCTCAGCCTGCTGAGTGTGACTGTGACGGAAGCTGAGTACTTCTGTAAGGAAAAGAGGTTTATTTAGCTAACAGTTTTGGAGGCTGACTGTCTGGCACCCCCATCTATCCGGCTTTGTTAAGGGCCTTATGGTACTAATAATCCAACGTGTCTGAGGACACCACAAGTGGGACTTGCAGGAGGAGTCACACGGCAAGAAATAACTCCTGAGCCGGGCGGTGGTGGTGCATGCCTTTAATCCCAGCACTCGGGAGGTAGTGGCAGGCGGATCTCTGTGAGTTCGAGGCCGGGCTGGACCAACAGCCTAGAAAACAATACAGAGAAACCCTGTCTCATAAAAACCAAAAAAAAAAAAAAAAAAAAAAAAAGAAAGAACTCCTACATCATTTATGAGCATGCTTACAAGTGGTGCCTCTCTTAGCCAAGTTCAGACGGGTCTTAAACTGCTACAAACTGTTTGCTAGAGGCGGTGGAAACTGAGAAACAAGGCAACAACAGAAGGGCTGGCCTGCGAGGGCAGTCATTTCTCACTGTATCCTCCAAGGCGAGAAGGGGACAGTCCCTTTCTCTTTATACATGCACCATCACTGGGCGTTCTGGCCTCACAAAGCAATTGCCTCCCAAATGCTCCACCTCCGTGCTATCACACCGAGGGTCAGATTTCCATACAGGGGTTTTGAGAGGGGAAATATAAGTTCTCACTCGATGGCGTGATAGCAGTCCCCTGGTTCAGAGCCCTTACCATCGCAGGCTTCAGTCTATTTCCTAAAGACACAAACTCAACAGTGGACGGTGGTTCCCTCAAGCAGAATCAATACACCAAAGATACAAGAGCGTTGTGAGATGTATTTTAAAGACTCAGATAATTAAGGGGTAAACATAATTCAGGACTGGAGAGAACTTCACATTCAGGCGACACCATTGCCTTTCCTAAGCTGTTGGGCTGCTGCCCGTCGCTAGGCATGTCTTATGAACTCTGGGCTCGGCACTGAGCCAGACCATCCCCCTGATGTTGGAGAGGATACTGCTCCTTCAGGTGATTTCTTGGACCTCACAGAGTTCAGAGTCCAGTCCCAGCGTCTCAAGCCACTCTGCATTACTCTTACGCCAGGGCCTTTACGACAGCTGCATGTGGCCACTGAACTTCTCCAGGGACACATTCGCAGGGACAAGTGAATACCACCCTTGCAGGAGGGCAGCAAGCATACTTTGGCCCTTGCCATAGAACTGTGGATGGAAACTCCACTTTTAAAAGCATTTTAGGTTGCATTATGATACTTGCCAGTCGGCAGATACTTCTGACTTCAGCGTATCTCTGTCCTGACATCAAAGCTTTCTGACTGAAATTCTTACACAGGACTCAAGGTCAGAATTTTTATTATTTCCTTTCTCCTGTGGGAGACAGTTTTCTATCGTGAAACTAGGGACATCAAAGTTTCATTATTGGCACTCTTTCCAGATTGAGGCTTAGTTCCCTCCCCCTTTTCTACTGGGGCCACACCTAATAGCAACAATCTTATCACAGGCATCCGTCCCCATGACTTAACATTGCTGCCTTGACCATGACCACCTCTGTCCCCGTCACTACCATAAATGTTTCCATCACGACCACCATCAGTCACCATCAACATGAAGGACCACCACGGTTCACCACTGCTCCCTTACCAGCTTTTCCTGTGGGAACTCTGTGTTTTTAAACCAGAGCGGCCAACACATTCTTCACCTAGGAATTCCATAGGCGTGGCTATCAGCTATTTCTTTCCAACGTTTGGGCTCCCTAGACACCTCTGAAAAGGTCTTACAGTTTGGATTATGAAGCGCTATCCTCCCCCCCCAAAGTCTCAGTCCAAACCTGACACCATTCTGGGAGGTTCTGGAAACCAAAGGAGGTTGTAGACAGTTGAGGAGGGGGCCTTTGAGAGGGTCTTAGCCCTGGTCTCCTTTTCCCCCATTTTTATATACCATAACATGAAACCAGGTGAGCACTACAAAACCACACATTAGAACACACCCTACACCCTTTGTTGCTTTCGAGGGTATTTTGGTGTTAGCCACTCAAAAGTAACTAGGAGGGCAGAACAAAATCCATGCCCCACACCTACCTGCTTGTCTTGCTTCTACACAGAGCAATGAGTTGCAGGCTGACACTGGTTTATTTGGGTCTGATCCTCAGCCTCGCTGTGTGGCTACAGTTCCTCTGTTTTTCCTTCTCTTTCATCCTGTTTGGCCGTTGTCGTTCCTAGCAAAACCTCCTCGGT